AGAAAAGATGTATGACGTTAATCACATATGAGTTGTTTTTTCTAAACTAAAGCCTCATTATTCAGGTTAAATTGCCATGTTGGCATTTGTGATAAATAAGTGGGTTTTGGGTTGCAGTTTGGGCATTCAGTCTCTAAAAGGTTTGCCATCACTGCTATAGGCAATGCATATATACAATGCAAATTAATCAAGCCAAGTAGTATGTACATTATTTATTAAACAAATTTCTATTTTTCCACAATAAAATAAGGCTCCTCGCAGCTTACATAAAATATTTTTAAAAAATTTTAATCATTCACAGAATAAACTTTGCAATAAAACTAAAAGAAACATGATCAAATATGAATAAAAACAAATTAAAGATGGCATTATAAAAATAAAGGATCTTTAAAACAATTCTGCTTAATAGTTTCTAAAACATCCTAAAGAAGGGAGTTAGTCTGATCACTACAAGAAGTCTTATTGCTTCAACAACATAAATCTTCCAGAAATCTGAGTTTATAACAGTTTAACTTAACTGGTCAATTCAGAAATGATTGGAGTAGATGTTTTGAAGATATCCAGGCATCAAGGCATAATGCTTACCTAAGGGATCTGCAAGGGCAGATTTCTTTTTCTTCTTTTTCCTCACCAAAAAAGGTAGGTGCAAACAATGGGAAATTTAGGGCAAAAGAAGAGAGTTCAAGATTTTAAAACACAAAAGAAAAAAAGGAGAAAGAAAAAGGCAAAAATAAAAATGGGAAAGGAGAAAAATAAAAAGAAATGAAAGATGTTATACATATTTAGAATTGAAATATGAATAGTAGTAAGAAATGAGAAATCATGATTGTAAAAATGAAATGAATAATAATTGGAATATTTGTCTTTGTATTTTTGAAATCTAGACAATGATAAGTTTTTATTTTTTTTATTTCTTTTAGAAATATGAATAAGTATAAACTGTAACAATTGAAATACCTTTAATGGTATATGGTGGTGAAAGTAAAAAGGATTAAGTTGTAGTTTGGATAACAGCTAGAACATTTTTAAATTTAATTAGGGAAATTGAAATGTTTTTAATTATATATTGTAAAGAAAATAGAAATGATTAAGTTGTGATTTGGAGGATTATGTGGGCAAAACTATTTGTGTTATTGGGAGAGTTTAAGATGTGAAAATGAATAACATAAGGGGAAAACTCTATTTAACTAGGGAATTGTAATAATTGAGATACTATTAATTGTAGATTGTGTTGAAAGCAGAAATGGTTAAGTTGTGGTTTGGAGGAATATATGAGGGAAATTATTTGGTTTATTATTATTGGTAAATATAATTAATTGATTTGTAAGAAATTGGATTGAATGGAAATAATTGGAATGTTCATGTTCATGTTGATTAATATACAAAAAATAGTTATATAACTAATTGATTTATATTAAAACGTTGAATTTGTATTAAACAATTGTAATATTACATAATTAACTAATGTGAGGATGGCTATAAAAATAGATGACAATGGGAAGGGGTATAATATAGAATAGAAGGAAAAAATTGAATTTGATTAAGATTAGATATGAGGATGAAGGGTAATATTGGTTTTTTTAAAAAATAGATGAGGAATAAATATGGCAAAAAGGAAATATAGAAATTGTAAATTTAATTGAAATGACTAAACACTGGTTAAATTTGTGAACCGGCCAACTACTCTGTTCAAAGAAAATACATTGTATGTTTGTATGTGTTTTTGTCTAAAAAATAAATAAAAAAATTTATAAAACAAAACAAATCAAAAAAGGTAGTTGTGTCTTATACTCCGAAAAATACGGTATGCTATATGATTCCAATATTCAGAATCATAAAGTATGTTGGCTGCTGCATTTTGGACTAATTGTAATTTCCACCTAGTCTTTAGCCCCAAGTACAGTGCATAATAGGAGGCCAACTGGGTGGTGATGAGGGTATGAGTTACTTTAGCCAGATCCATCTCCCCTAGGCAGGATTGCAAATAATTAATCAAAGCTGTATGTAGGCCCCTGTGGCTATGGCTTACTGTTTCAACAACAGACAAGATTCAGAAGGATCCCCAAGTTATGAACAAGTTCCCTGATGGGAAATGCTTGCCTGTCAAGGAACAATTATAGTGGTGACCGATTCCCATTATATCGAAACCCATTCCAATTTATTAGAGTTGAGTTTTCAGCTAGACTGGCAATCTCCAAGTGCTGGGAAAGAATATAACAGCATCCCCCTTGCAGCCTGGGGCAGAAATGTGCATTGGATATCATCAGTTTACTGACGATATCTCCCAGTGATCTCATATAGATGTTAAAAAGCAGGAAAGAGAGGAATGATCCCTAGAGCATCCCACACATGGGGCCACTGAGCCAGCCCCTCATTACCCACCATGCACTGAAAAATGAAATGGCAAAACAGCATTCAATGTTGCAGATAATCCAATAAGATATTATTTTGATGATACCAAAAGTAGATGAAAGGGCTAATAAGAGGGGGATAAGGGTGTATTAGCCCCATCCAAATCTTGAAAAGAGATTATCTAAGAGAATTAGCAATATTGTATCCATACAGAATGTAGGGTCTTTCTTTATAGTGTTGTGGAACTGATGCAATGTCATCAACTCAACAACCTTTCCAATAATGGGCAGATTGAAGACAGGCCAGTAATTCACCAACACTACTGGATTCAGGGATGGCCTTTTTGGGAGGGAGACTCTGGAACTCCCCCTCTCATAGTGATATGATGACAAATTCCCACATCCAAATGGCCATCACTCCACCCATTTCCTGAACAAACCAGGAAAGGCAGTGAGTTGTTCCTCATTTTACTATTTTTCAAATCACTGCAGTTGTTAAATTTGGGCTCATCCATTGACTTTGCTTGTTGGAAGCCAACTAGAAAGATTATAAATGGTGATCACATGATCCCTGGACAATGCAACTGAATTTGGTTTCCCCCATTGACTTTGCTTGTTGGAAGCCAACTGGGAACATTACAAATGGTGATCACATAACCCCTGGACAATTCAACTATCATAAATACATGTCAATTGCCAAGCACTCAAATTTTGATTACATGACCTTGGGGATGCTGCAATGGTCATAAGTGTGAAAAACGGTCATGTCACTTTTTTCAGTGTTATTGTAACTGGTTGTAAATCAAAGATTACCTGTATCTTGAACATACAATTGAACTATTTGTTGCAAACCTGTTGCAAACTATAACAAATCTTGTATTTCAGAAATATGACTTGAAAACCTGTCTTAGGATACTTCAAGCTGCATCCAAGAAGTACTCTCTCTGTTCCTATTCAATTTCATTGTACACATGCTGTGCATTGACAATAAAGGTTTGATTTAATTTGATTTGATTTGATTTGCAAAGAAACTGGCACACATTTACCAAAAATCTATGTTTATTTTAAGTAGATAGTTTCATAGCCTGAATATAAATAATTGAACTCCTTTAATGAATCATGTTACATTTGTTATAGCTAGCCCATCTTTCCTGAGGAAAATTAAGACATCGATATACACAACTAAGTTCAATGGCTGTATTCATATGTTAACAGAAGTTTTAACATCCATCATTTGTTATGTGTGGCTCTGCAGCTAGTTAACTCATCCAGTAATGCAAACCTCTATGAGAGCTGAATTCATATTTCATGCTAAATCAAAACAAATAAACCACATCATGTTTGGTGATGTGAATCTGTCTACTGTAACGACTTATTATAAGGGATTACCCAAGATATTAGAGTAGTCAATATCACCCAATATCATTAATTTTGGCATGCATTTAATTGCAATGAAAGGAAGCATCAGACACAAATATCCTATCTCATCACATGCTTCATTCTAAAGAGTTATTGTGGATTTGCATAAGTCACAAAAAGTTCTATTAAATAGAAACAAAAAATCTTTTTTATAAACCCAAATCAAAATATGGCATGATAGCACAGTTAATGAGTTTTTATTGATGACTTCCCATGAGAAATTGGAGGGCAGAAGAGCTCTGGGTGATCATTATCCCCTAATTCTTATTAGCAAAAGCAACAGAGTTTCAACAGTGCAATTATTTGACTGCTTTGAAATATTTGGTTCTAATTTTAGCCAACATTGAGTTATTTTACTTGCTTCAAAGGCAACCAGACCTACAGAGAAAATTCTGGGATGGTGGTAGCTTGACCCCAGTTTCAAAAGAAATTCATTATTTTGGAAATCCTAATTTTAAAAAGGCAGTGAAAAGAGGGTGGGGGGTTTGGGGATGCCTGAACAGAAAAAGAAAAAAAGTTTCAGATCTGTAAAGTTTTTAAAGATTTTGAAAAATTGCAAAGAAAATTTAGGTTGCCAAAAAAGTCTTTAAATCCATTGAAATATTTGTTGATTTCTCAGTTTGGATCTGATATATTGGCAGACTCTGAAACTTTTAAACTACTTCACACACTTGAAAAGATTTCACTTGAAAAAAATATCAATCTGAATCTCAGTTATATAAACAACTGAAGAGGAAATGTAAAATTAATGTTGATAACAAGACTTTTAAAATAAAAAATGGAATATCTTATTTCCTCTATCAGTACTTTTGTGGTCTAAAGGATATCAAATATGTCTTCGATCTTCAAATGTAATTAACCCATAAAAATCATATTTTTCATAAATAGAATAGAACAGAACAGAACAGATCTTGGAGGTCTTCCAGTCCAGCCCCCTATGTATGTATGTATGTATGTATCTGTATATATATAATCTTCAACTTCTTAATTAATTATATGTATAATTGTGTCTACAGTGTTATAGGGATTACAAGAGACTACAGTGTACAGGCATGCAATGGGAAAATACTGATATTAAAACTTGGTAGTTATCTTTTTATAGCATTTTTATTCTGTGGAAGTGGAACATTAATATTGAAGCCCTGCAAATTTAACCATTTAATTGGGTTTTATTATTACAACTTTTACTTGCCCTAACATCATGCAACTTTCTTGTCCTGTAATTTTTACCTTCAAATTATTTTCTGTGTGATACTTGGCACAAGATCGAAGTTGAGTCACCCAGTACTGTCTCTCCTTTGTATCACCAGCTAGAAATAAACACACATGAAATAATCTATAACATAGTTTAAAAGCATACTAAAAGCAATTTGTTGCTTTGAAAATGCCCCATGTTCTCAAATGCCCTGTGTTAAAATTAAGGTATTCTGATGAGTGAAAATTGATTTGTCTATCTTGCTTTTAAATATGAGGTATATAAATTAATCCCAATATATCAAAATATTTACTTACAATTTAAATACATATTGATAAATCAAGAAGTCTATCTTCCTGTAAGCAAACATGCCCCACAATATGAAATGTACAATTCAGGGAATTCTATTATATATTCTTCTTGTAGTTGACTAATTTAATTAAATCAATAGACTTTCAATAACTTTTTCAGCCTTTAAAGTTTTAATTCTAAACAATTTTTACAATACAAATACAAATATAAATCTCATGCCATTGTACTAATTTACATGTGAACATTAATAGGAGAAATGCAGAGCCTTACTTTAATTTTAGCAAAAGTGTTTATCACAATTAACATAGTTGGACGATCATTAAAGAAACTATACCTCTCAGTTTATACATTTCTCCATTAGCAGAATATACCACCAACATGTTTGGAGCTTCATCACTAAGAGAAACTATAGCCCCAGCTAAAGATAAGATTCCTCGAGGTTTCTGGTTTTTACTCTGTTCATTTACAAAGTACTGTAGAATTCCAGTCTCAAAGTCCAATATAAAATACCTGTTAATTAAAGAAAATAAAGATACATAAGTTACTTTTCTATGGATAATTTATTTTGAAATTCAGAAAAATAAAAAGCTAAAACCAATACATGTAATAAATGTAGACATTTCATATATATTTTTGACAAATTAAAATTTGCCTTTGTTCAGTAAGAAATTTAAGGCTGAAAAATAAAATATTCTTGAAATACCTAGAAAGGGCGAAGTCATCTTGAGGTTACTCACTGGAATGATTTAATATCTATAATACAAGATACTGTTTTAAGATTAAAGTACTGTACAATTGATAGATGGTGGTCTCTATCTCTTGAAATTAAAGGGGCACAAGACTATTCAAACAGAAAATAAATTAAAACTCTAAACCAGTGATGGCTAACCTTTTTGCCATCGCGTGCCAGGAGAGGGGGTAGCGGGGGAGGTTCGCGTGTGCGGCTGCCCACACCCATAATTCTATGAGCCCTGCCTGCGCATGCATGCACAGCCCCCCTTGCCCCTCCCACTCCTGGCACGTGATGGCCCGGTAGGCCCGTTTTTCTTTCTTACCTGGCTCCAGATCCTCTCTATGCATCTGGGAAGGGTGAAAAGAGCCTTTCCCACTCCCTCAGAGGCCTGAAAGGGCCCATTTCCCAACTCCCAGTAGGACAGGAAGTGACTTTTTTGCTGTCTCCAGCCTCCAGAGCCTCTCTAAGAGTCTCTGGAGGCTTGGAATAGCAAAAAAGTCACTTCCTTTCCCACCGGAAGTTGCGAAATGGGCCCTTTCAGGCCTCCAGGGAGTGGGAAAGGCTGTTTTCACCCTTCCCAGATGCATAGAGAGGATCTGGAGCCAGGTAAGAAAGAAAAACAGGCCTTCCCCACCCCATCCCCAGGCCCTCCGGAGGTAGGAAACAGCCTGTTTCCCTACTTCTGGTGGGCCCAGAAGGCCCAAAAATCAGCTGGCCGGCGCATGCATGCGCGCCAGAGCTGAGCTGGCATGCCCACTGATATGGCTACGTGTGCCACCTGTGGCATGCGTGCCATAGGTTCATCATTATGGCTCTAAACCATTGCATTGAAAACTCAAAGGTGTCACATATACAAATAGTCCTCAACTTACAATAGTTCATTTAGTAACCGTTCAAAGTTATGGCACTGAAAAAAGTGACTTATGACTGTTTTACACACTTACAACTACTGCAACATCCCCATGGTCACGTGATCAAATTCTGTTAGGATATGGTTTGAGCCTAACAAGTTGTCCAGGCAATATTTGTGTACTGTAACTTTACTCTGTAAATGTATTATGTGACTTTAAAGTTTTTCTTGCTGATTCATTGTAACGCTGAGTCATGCTGTAATTAGGTAATCACTGGTTGTGAGAGTATTTAAGCAAGGTATTGTAATGTGTTCAGTTGCTGCTATGATATGCTGCCATTGTGTATGAAGATGATGTAATATGCTACCAGAGTATGATAAGCTACCATAGTGTGAGGAGTGCTATTCATTGTGCTATCATCGTTTGATGGATCTGCTACCATTGTGGTTTGTGAACCAGAGTGAGTTTGTTATTCTAACCAACTACTGTTTGTTTCGTAAGAAGATATCTGTAACTACTGGACTGATTTACTGGCAGACTTGGAATTTGTTTAAAGACTATGAGACTGTTTTTCTACTATAAAGTAAGCTTTTGATAAACCAGTTTGCATATCTCTTATTCATTGTTCTCAGCAACGTTTCCTTGTGCATTTACTCTGCTGGTTGGTAACACAACACCAATATCCTTAACAAATTCAAATGTTTGGCAACTGGTTTATATTTATGACGGTTGCAGTGTCCTGAGGTCACATGATCAGCTTTTGCAACCTTCTGACAAGCAAAGTCAATGGCGAAGCCAGATTCACTTAATAACCATGTTATTAATTTAACAAATGCAATGATTCACCTAACAACTATGGCAAGAAAAGTCATAAAATGGAGCAAGGTCACTTAACAAATGTTTCACTTAGCAACATAAATTTGGGCTCGGTTGTGGTCATGTTGCTTATAATTCTTCTTTTAATTATAGGCCCAATAATTAGTATGCGAGATATGAGAATTCAAAACACTGTTTTATTTACATGTTTCTTTTCACAGGAGATCATCAGGCAAGGCAAAGGATTCTGACAGGAACAGCTGCTTATATATACAGTGGGCGGAGTCAGAAAGGTAAGGAGGAGTCAGGGGGGAGGAATGTGGCACACTTCATATTTTGACATATATATATATATATATATATATATATATATATATATATAATATATATATATATATTTATATATATATACAAGCTTAATTATACAAATGTATATAGTTAGGTATTTTTCTTTGTAACAGGTCATAACTCAAGGACTACTTGTATTACACTGAGTTTACAATACTTTTTGATACAGACAAATTTTCAGAAATTAAAAGTTAACTTGCAACTTCAGCCAAATCAGTCATTTTTGTGCTGATGAAATCTGCCACACAAATGTAATGAAAATTTCATTATCATAAATGAGCTTACCTATTGCTTCAAACATTTTAATCTCTCAGAATTCCAATTCAAACAAATAATTGAATAGTTTGCAGCTGTTGTAGTTAGTTTCCACTGAAATTAGGTGGTTATAATTAACTTGCCTTGATTTTTATAAAGGCAAGGTGCAACTTGTTTTAATATGTGCTCTTTTTAAATTTTCACTTCACTACTGTTTCAAAACCAAAATATTAAACACAATTTCAAGTGGAAAAGATTTTGGTTCTTTTTTTTATAGTGATCCTCATTTTTACACATTTTCTTGAAAATAAATTCAATGAATCAAATATGAGGTATATTGAAATGTGACCTTAGCAACACAACTTTATTAAGAAAAAATCAGCATTTTACCTTATGCCTTATTCAACAAATACAAGCTGTAAGAGCAGATCCTGGCATAGCAAAACTGGAAATGATAATTGTATCCATTATTAAAAAAATTAAATGTGAGAATCAGGATGACTTAATCAAATTGAAAAACTGCCACTGCTTATAATAAAGTCTTTAACTTTTCTAAACAGCAAATTAGGATTATATAATTGCATTTTTCTTCATCCAAGTATAAGCATTATACCACTTATTGCTACTCAAAAAGATACACCAGAAATTAAATATTTCGATTTATTCTCAATTTGATGTCTTTCTAAAGACTAATCAAGTCCCAATGTTTTCGTCTTAAGTTGGTGAGAGTTTCAGAGATCAACAAATGGTAACCCAAAGGTGATTTTTCAGCAAATAATTGGACTTTCTTTTCTTTGAAGACGTTTTGCTTCTCATCCAAGAAGCTTCTTCAGCTCTGATCGGATAATGGGGAATGGAAGGATTTATATTACTGGAGACAGCTGGTAATTTTTCCATTTGCCTCCTGAAAAAGCACCTTTGGGACAACCAAGATCTAGAAGACTGAGAATCTCTACAGATTCTGTAGAGTTGCCATTTAACAAATGGCAACATACCCATATATACCCACATACAAAAATCACATGATTTTTCACTCACATGATAAGTATCAAAATACTTCTCTATCCAGGAAGTATTCATATTCAAATATCCACCTTCACATCAGTGGGGGGTTGCTACCCCCCCCACTGCCGGATCGGGCAAACCGGTAGCAGCGGCGGCGGGAGGCTCTGCCCACCTGCCCGGACATCTCTGCGCATGCGCAGAAGTTTCTGCACATAAGCATCATGCGTGTGCGTGAGTGCGCCAGCGCACCAAGCAGTAGCAACCAAAATTAAAACCCACTACTGATTCACATGTTCTCAAAGGCCAGAGGAAAGTAGTAGCTTGGAGAGGCATCTGGCAAATACACAGCTTCCTTCTGTCTCCTGGATCTTCCTGCCCTGCCACCCTCAGTCCTGCCCTCAAATCTTCTAACTTTGCTCCCAGGCCCTGCTCTACTGTCTTTGGGCCTAGCTTTGCAGCACTTCTACCCTACAACCTCTGCAATTTCCAGCTCCTCTCATAGACAAGAAATATGCCTGTACAAGTCATTTAAAATTTTCAACCCCATTTGGGATTACTCCAAAGAATTGCAATCTATAGTTTGGGAACCCCTGCTCCAAAGCATTCCAGTTTACCTTTAGTCTATGAACCTGCAAATTTTTAAATCAAAACTTATCCATGGAATGCATGTGTGTACATTTATTGTTATGTACGTGATAGGAATAAGTGAATGGTTTTCAAAATGTAAAATTGAAAGAAAAATTTAAAATTAAATCTGTGGTGTAGTGGAAATTTATTGAGTGGAGAAACAAGCCTGTCAAGAAAGTGCAATAGATGGGAGTAAGGAAATCGTAGTATAAAGAAGGCAGGATGTAAAATAGACATGTAGGCAAAAATTAGCTGGGTCTTCAGAGTGGGAAAAGAAAGAATACAAGCTGTAAAAACAGCTGCAAGAGGAAATGTCTAGCCAGAAAAAGATAACTGAATGGGGTATCAGGAAAGGCAAACTAAACTAAAAAACAGGGAAGAACCTATTGTTAAGTGCCATAAAATAACTCCAGAACTCAGAACTGAGCATGCTTAATAACTGATTAATATTAATTGACACACCTTGCATAAATTATCTCCTAATGTTAATGTATATATGATGTATGATTAAGTATGTAGCAGGAAATATGTAGGAGACGGTCGAAAAAGTGTAACATAGTATCTCAGCTAATGGGGAATGAGGAGGGATGTGGTGGCCGGGACAGGATTGTATAAAGAATGGAATGTTTTGGGTTGGAACTTTGGAGAGAACCAAGTTTTGATAAGCTTCTCTCCCCATTTGTTGCAATAAACAAAACAAAAAGCCTTCGTTGTGTCTTGGTGATTATTGGTCAGGCGAGATTGCCTCCGGTCATGAAGGAAAGTAGCCAGGAGTATATAACATATTGAACAAATGGGTTTGTCTTTTTTATTGGCTAAGCTATTATGATTTGTTCTTGGTTTATACCACTGTAAATCTTCCTTTCATCACTCAG